GAAAATTGTTAAGCTCATAAACTAAATTTGGGTGACCAGCAGTCTGTCTGGAATGCCTGGTTTTCTCACTGAAAGTCCCAAATCCTAGAAACCCCAGCCCCCTGGGCAAAGGGGGATAGCTGGTGTCACCCTCGTTATAGATGCATTTGGTCCTTCATGCCCGTCGGTCCCCCTTCTTTCAGGTTCTGTTCTTGATCTTCCTAAACCACAGATGTTGCCATATTTGCACCATAATCTAGAAGAATGAAGGCCCTGGTAGGAGAGTGGCAGCATAGCATATTACTAGTATGAGCTCATTTAACCCTCACAACAGTCTTGTGGAAGTGTAAGTCTCATTACTCCCACTTTGTAGGTGAAGAGATCAGAAAACTAAGGAACTTGATCAGGATCATCTAACAGAGACCTTGTGTCCATTATCATAACGTAAGGTGTATGAAAGAACTAGACCAAATGATAATTTTGGATGGGCAAGTGGTAGTGAGGCACAGGCCTAGAATCTGGATTCTCATCCACGTGCAGCCACCTACTAGCTGTGAAATCTCAGACCAGTTACTCCTGTGAGCATGTTCTTTGTTGAATAAATGATATTCATAAGGTGGTTGTAACATTGAAAATGGGAAAAAATGAAAAAATATTGTGCATAATGTATAAGTTCATTTACATGTATAGACTGCTTTTGCCCTTTTTTTAAAGAAGTGCTGTAGTGACAACTTGGAAGGCGGGCCTGGGGGGTAGCTTTCATTTTCCATTTACTAGTGATTTGTGAAGGCAGCTAGCACATCTGCTATGGCAGATGTAGTAGTAGTAGTAATGGTAATACTCTCGTTTTCTTCCAATCCTTTACCCCAGGTAATGCTTTAGGTCTTTTCTTTTTTTTTTTATCTATTTCTTTTCTCTAACTTCTGACCACATTTGTTGTCTTTTCTGTGTATAATTATGACTTCACGCCTCTATTTAGATCTATCTCTGTGAAGTGCCTTTAACTTTATTTCCCGTTGGCAAGTTGTCCATGGTTGACTTTCCAGACATTTAATTTTTTAAATAAATTCTCTAAACATTTATTTAGTTTATAATCATGTTTCTTTCTATATTTTATATGGCACAGTTTTGTCTTCCTGACTAGATTGAAGTCCCTATGGATTCAGACCATAATTAATTCCCTTGCTCTATATGCATTATTATTGTGTCCATGATTGCTTGATTCGGTGATGGGGGAGATTTTCACGTGACAATCTGTTGTTAAAAGTCTTACTAAGATTATTAAAATTATTCCCCTTCCAGACTCCAAAAAACAAAGCTACAATCTTCAAGTTATGCAGCATCTGCCTCTACCTGCCACAGGAACAGCTTACCCACTGGGCAGTTGGCACCATAGAGGATCACCTCCATCCCTACATGCCAGAATAGAGTGCTGACCAGCAAAATGGACAAGATCACAGAGTGCAGCAGCAGTTTTTTGTTTTCTTGTTTTCTTATACTTTATTCTTTCAGAATTTAAAGCAAATGGACTCATGCACAGAACACTATGCATTTTGAAACTTGTTCATCCTGGATTTTTTTTTTTTCCTTTTTGGTTATTCGTGTCTCAGAACTTAAAAAAAATTAGGTGTGTCTTCTGCACGGACTATGTGAAAGAAGATGCTTTGCATATTTGCTGCACTGCATCAGCATCTTACTAAAAATGTGAAAGGACTATTGTACACTGAAATGCTTAAATGTATCTGAAAGCACAAGGTGATACTCATTTTTGATGGTCTTTCCATTTGTGCTGGTTTTTGCCTCTTGACATCTGTCATCAGTTTTTAGAGGGTGAGAAGTGAATGTAAAAGATATAAATAACATTTTAAAAAAACTTAATAGCTTTGCTGTAATCACCGTTGTTCCAGAGCACTGTCAGATTCATTCTAATGACCAGAAGTGGTTGTTCAAAAAAAAAAAAAAAAGATACACAACCACAGGAAAGAATTCTTAAATGAAAGGAAAAAAAAAAGCATCTCATTGTAGGCATTCTTGCCTCATGTTTTACTGGGCCATGTTTGTTTCCTGGTACTCATAAATGTATTTTATTTCCAGATCTCTTTCCCTAAGTTGCTGTTAGGAGAGTATTCTGCTGAATGTGGATACAGTTTATACACATTAAAACAGACCTGGAGTCTGAGGTAGCTAAAGCAGCTATAAAACTGAGAAATTCATAGCTGCAGAAACCATGATAGATGAAGGATTTTTCTTTTTGGTTTTAAAGAGATTTTTATTACAAAGAAAACCCAGTGAATTGTGCAGAAAATACTGGTTTCTACCCTATCCTAAAGGAAAACTTGAGGGTTTTTTGGAGTAGAAAAAAGTTACTTTCTACCCTATCCTAAAGGAAAACTTGAGGGTTTTTTGGAGTAGAAAAAAGTTACTAAAGTTGGGATCTTTAAATTGTTTAAAAACCATTCACTGTCAAAGCTCTAAAAGCAGAACTCACTTGTGCAATGAACATAAGGAAAGACTACTGTATAGTTTTTTGGGTTTTTGTTCTTGTTTTTTTTTTTTTTTCTTTTTAATGAAGAAAAGCTTTGCTTAAGGGTTGCATACTTTTATGGAGTAAATCTGAATGATCCTACTCCTTTGGAGTAAAACTTAGTGCTTACTGGTTTCCAATTGTATTTAGCTTCTGGTTGGAATTTGAAAAAATGAAAACCTAAATAAAATAGGTGAAAGTTCCCTGACTATTCAGGTGAATACACAAAACTTGAAGTGGTAACTTCTTTTTTCCAAGTTACTGGGTAGGATGACCCTGGGGGTTATTTTACAGGTTATATTTTACAGTCTAGTTACACAGCAAACTTAGGACAAAATATGGTAGATGGGTTTGTAATTCAAGGAATAGGAATCAAAAAGACATTTTGTCAGCTTTAGCAGTTATCAGGTTGGTCTTGTTCCTTGCTTCATGGAAAAGAAAAATAGATTTTTTAAAGCAGGCTCCACATGCAACATGGGGCTCTTAACTCACAACCCTGAGGTCAAGAGTCGCATGTTTGACTGAGCCAGCCAGGTGTCCCAGAAAAATAATATATTTTTAAAATATTTTATTTATTCATGAGACAGGCAGAGACATAGGTGGAGGGAGAAGCAGGCTCCGTACAGGGACCCTGGGGTCACGCTCTAAGCCAAAGGCAGACGCTCAACTACTGAGCCACGAGGCATTCTCCCAGAAAAATACTTTTTTTTTTTTATCCCACCCCCCCACCGAAAAATATTCTTAATTTCAAAATGCTTTCACAGATTTTCTCAGTTGAAAATTAGAATCTTTTGGGCAGCCTGGGTGGCTCAGCGGTTTAGCATCGCCTTCAGCCCAGGGTGTGATCCTGGAGACCCCAGATGGAGACCCGGGATCCAGCCCCACGTCGAGCTCCCTTCATGGAGCCTGCTTCTCCCCCTGCCTGTGTCTCTGCCTCTCTCGCCTCTCTCTCTCTGTGTGTGTCTCTCATGAATAAATAAAATCTTGTAAAAAAAAATTAGAATCTCTTTGAACAAATGGTTTCGAATGTCTCATGATTGGGTCCTATTCAAAGATCGGGACTGCCAACAGTCCTGAGTGCAAAGAGCAAGTTTTTATTTTAGAATAAATTTAGAAAAGTTTTAACAAAGTTCTGTATAACCTTTACCCACATTTTTTCCCAGTTTTTCTATGTGTGTATATATATATATTTTTAAAGATTTTATTTATTCGTGAGAGAGAGGCAGAGACACAGGCAGAAAGAGAAGCAGGCTCCATGCAGGGAGCCTGACATGGGACTTGATCCTGGGACTCCAGGATCATGTCCTGGGCCGAAGGCAGGTGCTAAACCGCCAGGGATCCCCTGTACATCTCTTGAATCATTTGTTTGGTACATACATCATGTATACATCTTTACTCCTTGGCCCCTAGTACTTGCCCCCTAGTCCCAAGCACGGGGCTATTCTGGCATAACCACAGTAAAGTTACCGAATCCAGGAAATGTAATGGTGATATTCCTTAATCTGTCATTGATATTCCAGTTTTGTTCATCATCCTAAATACCGCTTTTATTTTTTTAAGATTTATTTATTCATGAGAGACACAGACTGAGAGAGAAGCAGGCTCCTTGCAGGGAGCCTGATGGGGGACTTGATCCGGATTCCGGATCACGACCTGAGCCGAAGGCAGATGCTCAGTCACTGAACCACCCAGGCGTCCCAATACCCTGTTTTTAATTTAAAACCCACCCCACCAACGGTCCACTACAGGACTGTTGGCATTTAGCTGTCAAATCTCTAGTCTCTAATCTGGCCTTTGTTTTGGACCCTGACATTTTTTGAAGAGTAGGCTAATTTTTTAAAATAGTATTCCTCATTTTGCATCTGAATGATGCTTCTTCGTGGTTGAATTTGGGATTATGCACTCTGGCCAGCACCCAATTCATGTAACCTCACTCCCTTCTCCAGTTAATATCCAGAAATGCACTGTCAATTTGCTCTTGGTATGAATTTTGACTGGTCGAGGTGGTGTCTTGTTTCTGAATCGTATAGTGACTTTTTTTCCCCTGTAACTAAGAAGCAATCTGGGAAACAACATGGAAATGCTCTGTTCTTTATTGGGACCACCAGTGATTTTTGAGTTTTGGCTGTGACCAATGTTTACTATGATAGTTGCAAAATATCTATTCCTCCCCACCACATTTAGCAGCATTCTGTCATGAGGAAGAGCCCTCCTGTCTCTGCCCTATAACATCTACCTAAATGATAACACGTGCACAGTTCGCATGCCTCAACTATTTTCTTGAACACTTGCTTACTTTGAAGCACAAAATATGTTAATGTCAATTTCCCCAATGCCAGTTCCCCAGTCCTTGCATCAGCTATTTTCTCCAAGAAGCCCAGGTTCCTTTTGGAGGGAGATATTAGAAATTAAGAACTAGATGCCAGTCCTACATGCTCAATGCTACTAGGAAGTCTACTTCTAACAGAGCACCATGACAAGCAAAGGAGAATCAGCCTTTAACTGTTAATGTCTCCAAATTTATTTTTTTAAAGATTCATATATTCATGATAGAGAGGCAGAGACACAGGAGGAGGAGGGAGAAGCAGTCTCCATGCCTGGAGCCCGACGCGGAACTCGATCCCGGGACTCCAGGATCGCGCCCTGGGCCAAAGGCAGGCACAAAGCTGCTGAGCCACCCAGGGATCCCTTCCAAATTTATTTAAAGTTGCTTCCTGCATTTCTCTAATAGCTTAATACTGGACATTAGCTCTAAGGTAATCTCTCAAAATGGCCTTGCTGGCTTCTTTGCTTTACCTAAGTTTTCAGAAACACTTTCAGCTAAGGATTTTTTTCACCCAAGTATCAACTCTATAAGACTACAAACTGAAGAAATTTTAAATGAAAAACAGTCCCATCCTACGTCCCACTTGGTTCCTATGGCATTTTCCCAAAGAAAATAATTCCTAACAATTTCTGGTTGTGCTAACTTATCCTGAAAGTTATATTTGTTCAAGTCAAATTTACACTTGGTCTTTGTTGTTGGGTGTCTTCCGGTTATCATGCTGGTCTTGGTTTCCCAGGTGTTTTGTGTGTCTGCCTTGTGCTACCAATTTTCCCGTGGTCTTGTTCATCAGATCCACAGAGGTAAATGCAAGTGTTTTCCCTTGCTTCAGAATATGTGCTGTTATCACTAGGTCTTCTCCTATTTTTGCAGGGGACATGTACCTTGAAGGGAAACAAATATAGTTAATAGCAAATAATTTTTCACTTTTTGAATTTATAAACATTTCTAACAATTTTTTAAGAGGGCTAGTTGTATCTCTTAACAGCCTTCTTATGTGTTCCTTATTTTCCTCAAAGTAGTTTAAGAATAGTTACCAGTAAGTTTTCTGTCCCATCACATTTGAATGGCTGGTCCTGACCAAGTTCATCTTCCCCTTTCCATATCCAGACAAGTTTCTTTTTTTTTTTTTTTAAGTTTCTTTTCCTATAAATGTGGGAAGTTGTGTTCCCTACCCACCTTTAAGTTTTCCATTTCCTATTTATTCAGGGTTGGTGAAAAATTTTCTCCAGCTTTTATCTGATCTGCTGAAATCCTGGGTGAAGTATTGCCTGGCGTCTAACTCAGCAGGTTCCCCCTTCCCTGTGGTCCAGAAGGAAGCAGATGATCCTCCTTATTTTTTTTTTTTTAAGATTTATTTATTCATGAGAGAGACAGAGAGAGAGAGGCAGAGACACAGAGGAAGAAGCAGGCTTCATGCAGGGAGCCCGATGTGGGACTCGATCCCGGATCTCAGGATCGCGACCTGAGCCGAAGGCAGGCGCCCCAACTGCAGAGCCACCCAGGGGTCCAGATCCTCCTGACCTATTGCCAGAGATCAACAGTAGCCTAAAGCTGCACCCCCCACCTATGACACTCCCCTCACTTCATGTGGGGACTGTATCTCGGCCTCACTAGAAGGGTGCATACGGTTCAATACGGTGATTTCAGAGACCACATTCATGCAGCATTACAGTAGCTGATGCTTGTTCTGTTTTATTATCATTGTTTATCTTACAGTGCCTCGTTGCAACTTGATCATAGGTATGTGTGTATAGGGAAAACATACTGGGTCCAGTACTATCTGTGGTTTCAAGCATCCACTGGAGGTCTTGGAATGTAGCCCTGTGGCTAAGAGAGGACTACTGTATCTTGTCATATTGGTATTTAGAATTTATGTAACTGGCATGTGAGTAAATTCTGCACTTAAAGATGATTTAATGTAAGAACAATAAGGAATTGCAAGGAGGCCCTTAGAATCCAGGTGATGAGTTGTATGTATTTTTAAAGAGATCTCTCCCTACCTGTCTTACTCCTAAATTGTCACTCATTTATTTTTTAAGTATCTGTAGTAAATCTTTGAGACAGTGTTTTTCTGTTCAAGTGAGTCAGGTTTTGAAGCTCGGGCAGTTCTTGATTGTGACCTCTACCTTTGACCACACATACATGGAAACTATGTCTGACTTAACAAAATATTCTTTAGGCTTGTGAGAGCAGCGGTAGTATCTCAGAAGATGACGAGAAACAGTGCTCATTTTGAGGATCTCTGCTCTTAAGAGAGGTTCCTGAGGCCAAGGGGGTTGTCGGCTAGCCTCACCCCTTATCATGTGGAGTAAGGTAAGGACTGCAGAACATGCTCACCACAGCAAGCAGAACCTCTGAGATCTTAATTTCAAGAGCACTTCTGTCTTGTCCTGTGATTTGCTTATTGCACCCTCAATTTGTTCCCACAGTAAAGAAGGGCTGAATTTGTGGGCAGCCTGGGTGGCTCAGCAGTTTAGCGCTGCCTTCGGCAGCAGATCCTGGAGACCTGGGATTAAGTCCCACATCGGGCTCCTTGCTTGAAGCCTGCTTCTCCCTCTGCCTGTGTCTCTGCCTCTCTGTCTCTCATGAATAAATAAATCTTTTAAAAAAAAAAAAAAGGCTGAATTTTCTTCAGGCACTCTAAATTTAGATCTTAAAAAAAGAAAATTGACATTATTTCCATTGCCCTCATGGTCCATAGCATTGGCTTTCCCACCCTAATCCCTGCCTGTCCTCTGCCCCCACTCCAAAAAAATCATTGTTCTGTTGTGTAGATGGAAAAACTAGTTGTCTTGAAACTAAATCCCTGGGCCCTGCACTCTATTGATAAGGGATGGCAGGGGTACTTGTTAATGCTGGAAGTGAATTTTTTACACTTGAAAACATATGAGCCCTGCAGGCATTTTCACAATGGTGAGTGACAGCCTGCCATCTGTGGCACTGCTTCCTGATCATGGAGTTTATGTGTATAGAGCATGTTTGCAGTTGCAAAGAGAGAGACAGGACTGCAAACCCGGACATTTGTTTTCACCTTGTTACAAGGCAATGGCAATACATACTTTATGAAGGTTTATCCACTTTTCTTTTAATTTTACTCAGGCTTTTTTATGTCCACTCAATACGACCCTCATAAATGATTTGTACAAGTAGTACTCGTAAGGATTGGGAAACAGGTATAGGCTGTAGGTTTGTGACGATTTCCCCCCCATGAGTATATGTAACAGAAGCTGAATGTTTGCAGTTTTGAATGTTTAGGTCCTAACCCCTGCACTCCTGATACACACTACACTTGGAAATTAGTTCCTCTAGTTCCACATTCGAAGGCTATGGGAACCTTCAGGGCACATCTAGAGCTACACTACAGGACACCTCCAGTTTTATTTATGTCATGAATGTATTAGTCCTAGTTGTTTGAAATGAGTTTTCTCACTAAAAAAAGTTATTTGAAAAAAAAAAGTTATTTGTAGTACAGTTTGGGTACATACGTTATGTTCATATCCACACTGACTCCGGGTACTCCCCTTTCTGTGCACAGCAGAGCCAACGTTGATATGTTGTCCACTAGGGTGGCTGTCAAACCACCATGGAGAGTGCCGTATTTATTGGCATGGCTGCTTTCTACTTTCATTTCACAAATCACTTTCCCAGGGGCAGCAGAGACAAGAGTCACCTAAGTATAAAAAAAAAAAAGAATTTTGAACATTTTTTGCTATTAGCAAAGCCCAAAAAGCCCATCAAGAACAATCACTGGGTTAAACGGGGTCACACCACAGGTGCCTGGCTGGCTCAGTTGGTAGAGCATGCAACTCTTGATCTGGGGGTTGTGAGTTCAAGCCCCACGTTGGGTGTAGAGATTGCTTAAAAATAAAATCTTAAACTAAGTGATCCTAAAAGAGTTGATGAGAAATGCAAGTAAGTTACCAATGTCTCTATGATAGAAATTAACCCATAGGTAAACTGTTCTTAAAGAAAAAGGAATATTTAGGGAAAGACAGTTTTTGTTAAATCTCCACTCTGCAGAAATATTCTGAGCTTTTCAGCTTTGTGTGTGACAAGATGACATCTCTTAATGTCTCCACAGAAATTCTGGACCAACAAAGCTAGCTGGCCCCTGTGATCTGTTAACTCATGATAGCTTTAATTTGGACATTCCCTAATTTTTGTAGAGGACAATTTTTCTAGTGACTTTGGATCCCTGGGTGGCTCAGCGGTTTAGTGCCTGCCTTTGGCCCAAGATGTGATCCTGGGGTCCTGGGATCAAGTCCCGTATCGGGCTCCTTGCATGAAGCCTGCTTCTCTTTCTGCCTGTGTCTCTGCCTCTCTCTCTATGTGTCTCCCATGAATAAATAAATGAAATCTTAAAAAAAAAAAAAAAACAGACTGGAAGAAATTCAGTAATTCAATGAGTTACTAGAATCAACAATCAACCATAAACCCATTAATATAAAAAGTTTAACAACGGAATCCAGCAAAGTTTAACTGCTGGCTTTTAGGTATAATAGTATCATAATGAAAAAGAATTATGTGAATGATAAAATATGGAACAACAAATTAAAAATTTTATATCAAAATCTTTAAAAAGCAAGCTTTTGGAAAAAATAACAGAAATAAGTTTCTTATATCCTAGTTAAATTATTAGGAAAAACATCATAGCATAGTATATAGAAGTTGGAGCTGAGCTGTGGCTGGAATGTGCTAGATTTAGCATTATGATTTTCACCATGGCCAAAGGCATTCAGATTGAATACAGATCGGTATTGGGTGTGTCTGTTGTATTTCAGGGTGAGGGGTGTTTTAAGCCTTAAGTCGTTAGATTCTAAATAATTGCTACCTTAGCATTTTCCTTTGCTAGTCACTGCACTAAACATTAACATATATTACACCAATAAGTAGGGGACAATTTCCATTTTGTAAATTAAATTCACAGTGGTTTGTTGTTGGGATCATCTATGGTGTGACAGAACTGAGATTTAGATCTAGGTCTATCTTCAATTTCCTTCAACACTAACTATGAAGTCCAGATATACACTAACTATGAAGTCCGGACATACAGTGACCTTTAAGGGCTCCCACCAGGAAGACACTTTGGGAATTTCACAAACCATAACTTTAGTGGTTTTGCTGCTGTTTATGCTGAGGATAAACAGAGCCACACAATATAAAGTATCCCAAACAATATCATGTCATGTTTTTGCCTCACAGGTGCATCAGTGGCAAGTAAGTGTTAGAACAGCATCAAGTCTATTCATACAATAAATGATCTGACCACAAGATGTCCTCATAAACTAATATGTATATCAAGTAGGATCAAGGTGTGCACGACCTGAATCCAAGCATTTAGAGGAGTTTAGCAAGCCCTGGGAATATAAGGATGAAAGAAATCAAATCCCTGCTGGTAAGGGTGCACAACCTAAAGGTATCAATGAGAACACATGGGAGGGAATTCCTAGGGACAGAATAAACACCGGTTGCTAAGAGGATACCTAAATAATAAAAGTATGTTTTCAGAGAAAAGACATTAGGAAAGGCTTCCTGGGGAATAATTGAGTCCTGACAGACCAGAAGAACGAAATAAGTGAAAATGGGGAAAGAAGCTGGCAGGTCAGGGAAGAGAAGCTAACAAAGGAATGTCCTAGCCAACTAGCCAACCCCTAATAGGTAATCTTGTTGAGGAAGAGACCAATGGAGAGCTAACCTTTCTTTGATGAAGGGGTTATGAGAATACTGTAAAAACAAAACAAAACAAAAAACCCTCAAAATCTCAGTTAAGATATGGGTTGTAGGGGACACACTTGTTTATTGGGTTATTAACTATGGCCAACTTTGTGTTAGGGACCACACTCAGCAACTCTGCATGGTTTCCATCCTCACACATCTTTGAAGTAGATACTTTCATCTTCCTTTGATTCAGACATCTCAAGTTTAACCACTGTGTAAAATCACGTCCCTTCATATCTTAACTGGCCTGCTGCGAATAACTCAGTCCTGGTTCATTTGGTGTCTGGTGGGAGGATGGCTAGAAAGCCTTGTATGATGCGATGGGGTCAGGAATCTATCTGCAGGGCCCCCAACAATACAGAGGATTAACTGCCCAAATACATTCTATTCCCAGGATCACAGGGGTTGGGCAGCAGGTTGGCAAGAACCTTTATGGCTCAGCTGTCTGACAAATGGGCTCCTTAGGTATATGCATGCACACACAATCTGTCCCTTTTCTATATGGCCTGAGTGTCCTGTCCCTTCCCTATTCCTCATGCATTCACATGAGTTTATGTGACTCATGCTGCCATGGCACCCTCCTCAGTTACCCAAACCCCTAGGTTCAAATTCCATCATAGCTAACACACTTGAGGGGACAGTCTCCCCTTTCCTCCCTTAGCTTTTTAATAAAGACAGAGAGAAGGGATGCCTAATAATAGCAGTGAAGGAGATGGTCCCCAGTAGGAGCCCTGTCCAGACCTCAGGACTCTCTGTAGGCCTTGCTTGATGTTTCTAGTCACTCTGGTCCTTGAGAGACCTCTGTCACTGTGACTGCTGCTGATCACCATACTGAGCCTGCTCACAGATTAAGAAGTGTGTATCTCTGGTTCAGTAAAGATGTCTGTGATTGGCTTAAAGGCATGAGGCCCGAGGCAGAAGAAAATCTGGGTACATGAAAATGTGAGTGCACCAAGACAGGAGACCAAGTATGAAAGACCACGTATACACACAAAAGCACAGAGAACAGATGGCGTCTGTGAATGAGAATTTTAGGTCCGAGAAGAGTTTGTTTTCAAGCACTTTGCCCTGATGACAGCCACTGCTGATTTCCAAGGTGACCCAGGGCAGATACCAGAAGGAAGTGTCTGTAGACTGTGATGTCCAGGGACTGTAGAAGGGCGTGTGCCACAGGATTGCTGTGGTGCATGCTCCACGGCGGTCCAGCACTAGTTGTGTAGCGTGTGTCTTAGCAGTTTAACACGCACATACCTTTAGATCAGTGGTGAAGAGCCTGGCTCTAGGCCCAGACTCAGGCCAGATCCTTAACTGAGTTTTCCCCGTCTGTTCTGTAAAGCGAACATGACAGCACAGCCCGCATAGGGTTTTGTAAAGGTTAAGATAACCTTAAAATTGAGCAGTTAGAATGAGGCCTGGCAGGTCACAGGTGATCAAAACACATTAGCTCTCATCCTTACTAAGGTTGTGATTCAAATACAGTCATCAAAATGCAAGTTGCTTTATATAGTTTCACATGGATCTTTCTTAGAATTGCCCGATTAGAATGGTCTCTGTTACTAAATTTTTTTTTTAAAGATTTTCTTTATTTATTCATGAGAGACGCACAGAGAGAGGCAGAGACATAGGCAGAGGGAGAAAAGCAGGCTCCATGTGGGGAACCCAGTGCGGGACTCAATCCTGGACCCTGAAATCACGACCTGAGCCAAAGGCAGGCGCTCAACCAATGAGCCACCCAGGCATCCCTCTGGTACTAAATTCAATCACTGCATGACCTGATTAGTAAAGTCAGTGGATACTTTTCAGCTCTTTCTCAGTGACATCTAAACCTTTTTGTGACCCTCCCCTAACTGCCATGTCCACCTTCTGGGTTTCCTTCTTCTCTGCTGGCTCTTATTCTGCAATGCCCACTGGAGTCTTAGGGCCAACTAATCCTTCAGCCTCACAAGGCTACCCAAGGCCAGCCCAGGTTTCAGCTTCACTCAGCAGGCTAGAGCACAGGTTCTCTAACACAAGGCACTCTATATACAAGTGCTCAAGATGTAGGTGGTATCAAGCGGGGAGAAAAAGCAAAAAGTCTAGTGAGTGATGCAAGCCATGAGCAATCACAGAGAGCTGGGTAGATGGTCTTCAGGGGGCACGGCCTCCCCAACACAGTCTTCTCTCCTCTCTCCCTATCCATCAGCAAATCCTACCCCTCCATCTTCAGACATGGCCAGAATCCAATCCTGTCCCTAGCCCCCATCCACTACTCATCACTCTTCCACTCTGGCCCAAGCTATCTCTTCCCTCCAGTTGCTACAGTGGCCTGCCAAGTCCCCTTCCTGCTCCCGCCCTTGCCTGCCTCATGTCTGCTCTCTCATTAACGATAGGAGTGCCCCTTTAAAACTACACGTAAAATCCTGTCACTGTTCCGTTCAAACCCCTTGAAGTAAAAACCGAAGTCCTTACAGTAACCTACGAAGCTGTACGTGAGACCTCATCTCCAATTTGTCCGCTTAGAATTCCTCTGGAAATACTGCAAACACAGTGTTTTAAAGTCGCAGAGCCTTTACACTGGCTGTTCCCCTGGCCCAGAACACTCTTTCCCTTTGAGCATCAGTGACTTGCTCTCAGGTCTTAACTGAACCGGGGCGGGGGGGGGGGGGGGCGGCTTCAGAGGAATATACATTTTAGAGGAAAAATCTTTACACTCTCCCAATACTCTATCCCTGGTCTCTGCTTTATATTCTTTTGCACCACTCAGCACCATCTGGCATACTCCATGTATCTGCTTTACCTACTCTGGCTAGTGTTTGATTTTTCACACATAATATACAAGTCCCATCAGTGGAAGGATCTTCTGTGAGTTTTCTGCTGACTTGAGTAGTGCCTGGCACATAGTAGGTGCTCAAATGTTTGTTGAATGAGTGAATACATTCGAATCTGAAGGTCAGCAATTCTGTACCAAAATGTTCAACCATTAGTGGCACCAGCAACTGACTGACCAAGCTCTAGGGAGCATCTTTGGTGTGAGAGCCATTCTACTGGACACCTTGCATCAGGCACTGACATATGCTCATCAAGCATCTACTACAGTCCTGCTCCCAAAGAGTGCTCTCCGTGTGGCACAGGAAGTAGGTAACAGATACTTTCAGTACTATAGAGCAAGTCCAATAATAAAAGTTAGTTGAGGTATACAACTGGGTCAGAGCAAGACAGCTGGGGATGCCAGCGACAGCTCTTGAAGAACAGAAGTGGCTGAAGATCCAAAAATAAGACATTGCCCTCGTCCTCAAGGAGGTAAGAAGCCAGCAGAGGTTATAAGAGAAGGCTAGAAGTAATAGACATTAGCAGATGAGCACCATAGGAGGCAAGACAAAGCCCAAGGGAAGAGCTTAGTGGAACTGAATGAAATAGCCCCTAAAGATTTAACCAGCGATGCCTGGGTGGCTCAGTGGTTGAGCATCTGCCTTCGGCTCAGGGCTTGATCCTGGAGACCCGGGATCAAGCCCCACATCAGGCTCCCTGCATGGAGTCTGCTTCTCCCTCTGCCTATGTCTCTGCCTCTCTCTCTCTGTCTCTTATGAATAAATAAAATCTTAAAAAAAACATTTAACTGGCTGAAGGAACATTCTGCTCTTATTCACTGGAGTGTTGGTAACTGTGAATATGTGCTATGAAGAATGTAAGCAATCACTTTTTTCTCAGTGGCTGGTAAATGGCAGATTTTACTGAATCACTCTGAGACCTATAAAGGTATATACTATGAAGGCTTCTACTGTATTAATCACCTTAGTAAGTCTGTACAGTTCTGACTGGAAAAGAGGGGTTAATGGAGGACCATCCTCATCCCACATACACTGAGAACTGAGACAACATCTATTCACAACTCCAGAACTCCTCTCCAGGGGGCAAAACACAAACTTGTGTAGAATTTTTGCAGGTGATCTAAGTTTGCAATCTAGTACCTGAATATGGAGTCTTTCGTAAGATGGGATGGTGCCCTGCAGGAATGCAAATATGATGGGCCAAAGCCCAGCAAACAGCTCGGTTGTCATATGACCATGCCACAAATCTAACAGTAACAAAGTTTTAAGTAATCTCTGTTCACTGAGAACAGCATTCCAAAAATTCCTGCAACTCCTAGGGTGGTTGAGTAAAAATTATACTGCCTTTTATTATTATTCTGTGAATTTTTAAAATACATACACTTAATTTCTACCACTGCTCTCAGATAACTTTCTGAGATCTTCAGAGACTGGAGGGCTAGAATAAAAGGGCTACTTACACAAGTGGTGAAACATGTCAGCAGCATGCTATTACCAAGGATGCACAGAGCACTGAAACTTGGGCATCTTCCGTGGCAGAAGAAATGTAAATTCATTTCCCTTGAATTGGCCCTCCATTCACCACTAACATTAATTTTCCAAAATTTTTATAGTTGATGTGAATTGATGCCAAATCCTTTTCCCCTATAGTATCAGCAACGTTTGACTGGAGTCCATAATTTCGCTAATTGTATCTTAACTCCTTAAATCTTATCTCTGAGCCATCTAAACTGCCACGTTCCTTCTCTTCATTAGATGTTTCATTACAACAATCACTCATTTTATATGAATTATCAGTGTAGGGATGCATTTTCCTACCTACTACTCCTTCAGGGCTGTTTATCACTCAATATCATTCCCTAGGCTTATTCAAACATGTACACACATGTAGGGGTTTTCCCTTTTAATAAAACTACAGAAATGGATCACATTATACATGTTACTCTGCAACTTTTGTTTTTTTCTTCCTGGTACATCACTGCCATGCCTCTAGCCTAAATCACAGAAATGTCTTCTAACTGGTTTGTGGTAATGCCTAGTCTTGAATATATTAGCTTTATTAAACTCTTGCTTTATATGTATGTTCTTTCCATATATTTTTTGTTTACCATTACAAAGGTATTTGTATAAAATAGATCACCAAAATTAGATAGCTGGGTAAAAGGGTATGTACATTTTTAACAAATCTGCCGTATTACTTTTCAAAAGCAATGCATGAGTACCTTATTCCCTAATTCCTCATCAATAATATATTAGTTAGTACTCTGAATTACTTTTTTTTACAATGTAATAGGCAAAATAATATGGTATCTCATGTTTTAAATTTGCTTTAGCCAGATTAGAAGTGCTACCGAACATCCTTTCATGCTTATTGGCTGACTACATTTCTTTTTTTTTTTTTGTTAACAGCCTGTTTATATACCTTGGTACTTATGAAACTGTTTTTACAGCTGTTCTTACCATATCTGATTTAAACACCAACTCATAGGGATGCGTGGGTGGCTCCGAGGTTGAGTGTCTGCCTTGATCCCGGTGCAGGGGATGAGTCCCATACTGGGTTCCCTGGGAGGAGCCTGCTTCTCTCTTTGCCTGTGTCTCTGCCTTTCTCATGAATAAATAAAATCCTTAAAAACAAACAAACCAACAAAGTAGGGGATCCCTGGGTGGCTCAGCAGTTTGGCACCTCCCTGATCCTGGGGACCCAGGGTCAGGTCCCGCAACGGGCTCCCTGCATGGAGCCTGCTTCTCCCTTTGCCTCTCTCTCTCTCTCTCTCTCTCTCTGTCTTCCATGAATGAATCGGTAAAATCTTAAAAAACAAAACAAGAACAAAACCACCTACTCATTAAGAAAATCTTTTCCAGATAATTGTATTTTGGCCTTTACTATATCTTTTGCCTATAGAGTTCATGTTAGTAAAGTCAGCAGAGTGCATGACAAATAGTAAATGCTATGAAAAATTTAAATACAAAAATTTCTAATTTTATAAAGTCATACACACCATTTAGTGACATGATCCTATGATAGCAAGCCATTGTTTTAGATGTCACTCCTTTACATGGAGCTACAAGTGATTTCTTTTAGTCGTTCCCCTGTGGTTATTTTGCATTTCTGATACCACAAATAATGCTAAAGCCACAATTTTTGTATCGAATTATTCGAACAAAGGTTGCTTTATTACTTTCTTGTGCATTTCTTACACCTAGATGATTTTTTTTTTTATTATTTATTTATGATAGGCACACAGTGAGAGAGAGAGGCAGAGACACAGGCAGAGGGAGAAGCAGGCTCCATGCACCGGGAGCCCGATGTGGGATTCGATCCCGGGTCTCCAGGATTGCGCCCTGGGCCAAAGGCAGGCGCCAAACCGCTGCGCCACCCAGGGATCCCCACCTAGATGATTTTAATGGCCAATAACGAGTTTGAGAATATTTGTTGGTATGTCACACTGGTAAATTTTCTAAATGATATCACTGCCCTTTTGTGATCAATTCAAAGTCTCAAGGCTTCTCTAGTAAGGTATAAGATCTGTTCTTACCTTTCTAACCATTTCTGTAGTCTTTGAGGTTCACTCCTAAACCTTCCTATTTCTCTGTGTTCTTCCTCTTTCGATACTTATTTACTTACACATCTTCATCTTGTTTTCATAAGGATGACTCTGCAGTTTTACCTTGCTTCTGAACTCCACTCCCTTATTTCTGTGTTGGATTCCACATAGTATTTCCAGACCCTAGCACAGTGCCTGTCACTTGAGACTCCCAAGATATGTTTCTCCACATGTGTTACTGGTAGGGTACTAAGAGCCAGTGGCAAATAACTTAACCATGATAAAGTGAGACATGTTGACTTATACCAGAACTAGCCAAAGTTTTAATATATAAAAAGGGTAGAACATCTCCACTTAGAAGACTCTTCTTCCTTAGGGAACATCCGATAACACTGATGTGCTCCCTGGGTCCTGATTTTCTCCTCTCCTGTATGATAAACTCCTAGAAGGCAGGGGACTGTGGCTGGTTATTTCTTCATTATTTCACAGTACTTGGGTTTGTTGACTGATTTTAAGGTCATCTTAAAGTAAGAGCAGGACATTTCAGTTGAGTGTTAGTTCTTCTGTGTCAGTGTTTTATAAAAGATTGGTTTCTCAGTGTTTATAAAGACCCACAAAACCGGAGGCAAACCAGAGGCTTTTTTTTTTTTTTTTAAAGAAACTTGAAACATGGCCAGTAGGAACTAAGATGTGCTGGATTTCAAAGATGGAAGTCCTCAAAACATAATACTCTCTTGTATTGATTACAAACTAAAATAATATTTTGAATATAATGAGTGGCTTAAAATATATTAGTAAAATTAATTTTACTTTTTTGCCTTTTTTATAATTTTATGTCATAAAATTATACATGCAGCTTGCATTTGTAGCTTGCACTGTATCTCTATTGGACAGTACTGGGTGTAGAATCACGGGTAGCACTATTCAACCTTACTCAGACTTCTGAGAAACTCTATACATCAAGTTTAACAGGTGGGCAGCCTGGGTGGCCCAGGGGTTTAGCACCGCCTTTGACCCAGGGTGTGATCCTGGAGACCTGGGATTGAGCCCCAGGTCAGGCTCTGGAGCCTGCTTATCCCTCTGCCTCTGTCTCTCTCTGTGCGCCTCTCATGAATAAAATAAATAAAATCTTAAAAAAAAAAAAAAGTTTAACAGGCATATCTTCTTGGAAACCAAGTTATTACCAATGCCAACTCAGGCATACGTGAAGTTTTTGACTTACAGTGTATCTGTTCAAGGTATGGGATTTTCGGGGCCCCTGGGTGGTGCAGTTGGTTAAGTGCGCAGTTGATAAAGTGTCTGCTTTTGTGATCTCAGAGTCCTGGGATCAAGCGCTGAATCCAGCTCCCTGCTCAGTGGGGGGAGTCTGCTTCTCCCTCTCCCTGTGCCCTCCTACCTGCTCGTGCTCTCTGACTAATAAATAAATAAAATCTTCAAAAAGAAAAAAAAAAAAAGAGTATGAGACTTTGGGGATGCCTGGGTGGCTCAGCGGTTTAGCACCACCAGTCTTTAGCACAGGGCATGATCCCACAGTCCCGGGATCAAATCCCACATTGGGCTCCCTGCATGGAGCCTGCTTCTCCCTCTGTCTGGGTGTTTTTCTGCCTCTCTCATGAATGAATAAATAAAATCTTAAAAAAAAAAAAAAAGTATGAGATTTTTAATCAGACCACTCAAAGGCAAATCCAACCCATGGCAAGATTATCATGAGAGAACACACACTCGAAATTTGGTCGTTGAAAGTTTAACAGTGAAAATGGCTATAGATGTTTTTAGGGAATGCAAATTTCCCCTTAGTCCAATACTTCCTTTGTTGCATAATCTCTCTTAAAAAGTTACTGTTAAAAAGTAGCGTATCTGGATTTTAGTGTTTGCTACGTGAAAACATTAAATATATTTGTCTAAGTGTTATTTCCTATGTTTTTCACAAAAGCCCTGGGTATGATTAGGGGAGCTGCTTACATGTTGAAAATACAGGCCACATGTCGTTTTCAGGAGGAAGACTGGCCCGATGCCCTACATTCTTCCTACAAATGACTGCACTTGGTCTGTTTAAAGTTCACTTTTAGGGACACCTGGGTGGTCAGTGGTTGGGCGTCTGCCTTTGGTCGTGACCCGGGAGTCCGGGGATGGAATTCCACATCGGGCTCCCCGCAGGGGGCCCGCTTCTCCCTCTGCCTGTGTCTCTCATGAATAAATACAATCTCACAAAAAAATTCTCTCCCTCTCCCTCCTACGGGCGTTCTCTTTCTTAAGGAAAAAGGAATTATTTCGACCCACACAATCATTCCATTTTCAGGACGGCGCTGAAAACCACACAAGATACTCCTCACTTCTTACAGACCAGGTGTCGTGCTGGATGACGCTGCCCCCCTGCAGGCTGAGAAGCGCTCGGAGCACACCCCACTCGGCACCTGGCTCGGCTGAGCTCCGAAGCCTGGGCAGGTGAAGGGCACTTCCGACTTGCCGCATTTCCAGTTTGCGCTGGGTTCGTCCGGACGGAGCCCAACCTTCCGTCCGGGAAGACCCGAGCCTGCTCATGGACATCCGGGTGAAATCCACCCGCGGCTGACCTGACCCACGCCGGCTCTGCGGACAGCAGTCATCATCACTCTTCCCGACGCACTCTCCCGGGGCCGGTCCCGCAGAACCCTCTACAAGCCCGGGCTTCCGTCCAGCCGCAATACCTTTTCCAGAACTCGATCGAAACCGGGAGCAGAAGTCAGCGACTTCGTCAACTCCAGCACGTTCTGCATCAGGCGGCTCATCAAGGCGGCGGCGGCGGCGGCGGCGTCCACGCAGGAGGAGACCTTGGGCGAGCCGGAGGCCCCGAAGCGCGCGACGGAGCAAGGACAAGTGGGCGGAGCTGACGCGTGCCCTCCGCCCGCGGCGCGTCCGGGCTGCTCTTACGCGCCAGCCCCGCCCCGTTGTGACCCCGCGCGCACGCGCGGCGCCCCCCGCCCCGCCCCGCCCCCGGCCGGCTCTCCCGCGGCGCAGCCACGCCTACCGCCCTCCGCCGGCTGGGCGCGTTTCCGGCGAGGCGGGCGAGGCGGGCGAGGCGGGCGAGGCGGGCGCGCCTGCGCAGAGCCGCGCGCTGGGCGTCCTGCCCCGGTGAGGGGCGTGGTGGGCCCGCGGCGAGCGGATGGAGCGGCCGAGCGACCCGGAGGGCGAGCCCGAGGTGAAGAGGCGGCGGCTTCTGTGTGTGGAGTTTACCTCGGTGGCGCGGTGCGACGCCGCCGAGGCTCAGTGCTACCTGTCCGAGAACGACTGGGAGATGGAAGTAGGTCTCGCTGCCCTCTTCCCCCTGTGTGCGGCGGTCCCGGGGGCGCCCAGGTCTCACCGCTGCCTGTGTTTTCCAGAGGGCGCTGAACTCCTACTTCGAGCCTCCGGTGCCGGAGAGCGCCGCGGAGAGCCGCCCGCAGAGCCGCCCGCAGAGCCGCCCGCAGAGCCGCCCGCAGAGCGCGGCGGGGCCGCAGCCCTGGTGAGGGGGGGGGGCTGGGGGCGCGCGCGCGGGGCCTGGGGCGCGCGGGGCCGGGGGCTTCCCCCCTCTGACCTGCAGTCCGGGACGGAAAACTGACGCGCAGAGGGAGGCTGCGAGCGCCTGGGCGTGAATGAGGGCGGCAGAGCCTGCTGTGGACCGGCAACTTGGAGGGCTCCTGGCTTCCTGCGTCGTTCATCTATTCCCCCTCCCCGCCGGCCAACCCGAATGCTCGTTTCGCGGTCAGTGCACAGCTGCGTCCCCAGCTCCAGCTGTGCTGCTCCTAACGGCCAGATGCCTCACATCTGCGGTTTGTCAGCTGCCCAGCTCTCCTACCCAGGAAGTTACAGGGACTCAAGCTTTGGCTTTCTCCAGTGGGCGTCTTCTCCTGACTGGCCTGCTTCGTAAAGATACTTATTGATGCAGGAAATGGTTGGGGTTTGGAGCCCATGGTCAAGACGGAGTTCTTGAGACATTTTTGGTGCAAAAAGGTAGTTTCACCAAAGCACAGGGACAGGACCCGCGGGCAGGAAGAGCTGCACGGGGGTCCTGAGGAGTGGCCCATTACATACTTTCAAGTTGAGAGGGGTTTAGGGAGAGCGTTAAGTTTTTAAGGAATTTTGGAACCAAGGTTCCCAGGACCTTGAGGGGAGTGGCTCTTGTTGGGAGAAAGTCATTTATTACCTTCACAGTCATGAGACCTTTCAGACTTATATAGGTGGGTGATATGCTTGGGACGGGGGGGAGGGGCCGTGGGGATGATTGCCAATATGTATCTTAAAAAAAAAAAAAAAGATTTTATTTGTTTATGCATGAGAGACACAGAGGGAGAAGCAGGCTCCATGCAGGGAGCCCGATGGGGACCCGATCCCAGGACCCCAGGATCACCACCTGAGCGGAATACAGTCACTCTACCGCCGAGCCACTCAGGTGCTTGCCAAGAGGTGTCTTGAGAGGTTTAGAGATAAAGGAAGTTTCCAAAGGAATTCTAGAGGATGGTCACTCTGTGTTAAGGACTTGTTGGTGGGCTGCAGTTTGTGAGGAAATCTAATTTTTCTTTTGTCTTTGTGTCCCACATCATTTATTACCTCTGTCTAGAACCTTTTCTTCCACTCCTTCCATGCTAAGTAGTATTTATCTATCTTAAGGGCCAGCTTAGACATGACTTATCTCCAAGAAGCTTTCCCTGGTCTCTCAAGTGTGGGTGGGTTTTCCCTCATAGGTAATCTTTTAGCATCCTGCACGATCCCAGTCATAGTAACTTAGTTTATATTATACCTGCTGTTTAATATTTTGTCTCCCACCAAACTCCCACTAAATGGGTAATTTAGTGAAATCGACATCTGTTTTGTATATTGTTAATTTCCCAAAGTCTGGTATGAATTTTGGCATCTAATAAGCTCTCAATAAATGTATATAAAGTTCTCCCAGATACATGAGCAGCCTGTAGAGTTAACTATTCATAGTGAAGACACTTTTCTTCCTATGATCTTTTCAGCTGCACCAGTAAGAAGATCGTTTCATTAGACTCCTTTCCCTATTTGCCTAGAATTTCCCCCCATTTCTAGTGATAGAGCTCTGCCTCCTTGTAATACTCACCTAACTCAAACTGGTCAGTCACATCCTCTCTCCTGGGACTTGGAGCTTAGGTTGAAGAGAGTTCAGTCTGAATCTTCCCTGTGGAGCTGGAACTGTAACGTGTTAATCTAGTACTTGTGGGAGAAAGCTGACAGTGCTGTTCTGCAGAGGGAGAATGAACCAGGGAAGTTGAGTCAGATGGAGAGAAAGCCTTGATTGCTCTTCCTCAGGGTTAGCTGTGTTCCCATACCTGCCTGTGATGTGTTTCTGTTTCCTTCCAAATTCCTCTGTTTTGCTGAATTGTAACCAGCAAGGAAATTGGAACAGAGGCTCTTGACCTCAGGGTGGTGAGTTCAACCCCTTACCATGCTGAGCGTGGAACCTACTTAAAAAAATAAATAAATAAAAGTGTGTGCTGGGGTTGCCTGGCTGACTCAGTCACTAGAGCATGCAACTTTTGATCTTGGGGTTGTAAGTTCAAACTCCATGTTGGGTGTAGTAGAACCTACTTAAAAATAAAATCTTTTTTTTTTTTTTTTTTATGACAGTCACAGAATGAGAGAGAGAGAGAGAGAGAGGCAGAGACACAGGCAGAGGGAGAAGCAGGCTCCATGCACCGGGAGCCTGACGTGGGATTCGATTCTGGGTCTCCAGGATCGCGCCCCGGGCCAAAGACAGGCGCCAAACCACTGCGCCACCCAGGGATCCCTAAAAATAAAATCTTAAAAAACAAAAGAAAGAAAAGAAAAAGAGAAATTGGAACAGAAAAGTTAGATTCCCTGAAATAGTTCCACAGAAAAAATGTAGTTGATTAATGGCAGAACATTGGACCATTAGGAGTCAACTACTGTAGAATCAAAAACTGGGACATTACGGGCACAATTGGCAAAATTTGAATAGATCTTAAAATTATATAATGTATCAGTGATAATTTTCTGACATCCAGTAATGCTGGTTATATATATTAGCCTGTCCTTGTTTGTAGGAAATACATACAAACATTTCAGAATAAAAAAAGCCAAGCAAGTAAATGTTAGTAAGTGAAACGTTAACTTTTTTCTTTTCTTTCTTTTTTTTTTTTTTACTGTTTTTAGTGTTTTACTGAGAGTCACATTATTTCAAAATAAAATAATAAGTTAACTAGATTTGTGGTCACTTTACAGTGTATGCAAATACTAAATCATGTGTGCCTGAAATGAATATAAAGTTCTAAATACAAAAACCTATTTCTTAAATTTATGTATGGTATATAACTGCTTAACAGTCACCTTTTAATAATGGTTTGTCTCTCCACTCAAATATCTGTGCCTTGGTGGGGCCGGTGTGCGGTGGTGTCAGGACCCTACATTGGATCTTGTGGATGTGGCCTCCAGCAGGGTAGTCAGACTTCTTGTGTGACATCTCAGGAGAGAACATTCCAAAAGATTGAGATAAAAGCTGCAAAGTTTCTTATGACCAAGCCTCAGAAATCCCAGGGTTTCCTTCCACCCTTATTCTGTTGATTAAGCAAGTCATTAAGGTCCAGATCCAGGGGGAGAGGTTTTGGACTTCATCTTTCAATGAGAGGACTAATGAAGAATTTGCAGCTGTTATTCACATGAGATCTTATTTCATGTATTTCATACATTTCATAGATTTAAAATAAATCCAAATTTGGGCATCTTAATACTACATGGTCTAATTTTGGATCATAGTTTACAAAATCATTTTAGTAACACATGTCACTGAGGCATATTGAGTTGGTTCTAACTATATAAGTGAGCAAACATTTGGGTAACACAGTAAGAATCTGTTTTTCCTTACTTGTATGACTTCTGCTCCTCTATAGGGAGATACTTTTAGGGTTCTTTTAAAATTCATTTGTAAAATGAAGGCTATAAGTAGTTAGAAAATAATTTAAAATTAATCAGTTCATAGATGATTTGCAGAGCTGTGTTTCATTGTGATTTTGCCAGTGTTGACTTAACGAATGAAGAGACAACTGATTCCGTTAGTTCTAAAACCAGTATGTCTGAAGGGATTCAGCAAGAAGATGGCAGCATGTTCTCTTTCATTACCTGGAATGTTGATGGATTGGATCTAAACAATCTGCAAGAGAGGGCTCGAGGAGTGTGTTCCTACTTAACTTTGTAAGTATTATTAACTTAGGTTCAATGATAACATGATTAACATGGCTTACCTATCTACAAAGAGGGTAACAGTCAAGGTTGTTATGGGCTTTGGAACCTGATCTGAGTTCAAAATCTAGCTCTCAGAATGACATGTAAAAGAATGGAGAGTGCCTCTGAGAGCAGAAGTGTGGATAGAGGTGGGGAAGGAACACTTAAGTTTTTGTTAGAAGCCTCTAGCACTGCTTTACCTAAAAACTTCGTAATTATTGCTTCCTGAAAATAAGATTACCAAAACGATCTGTATCTGTTACACGCTGGCTCTGTGACCTTCTGTAATCCCTTGTGTGAACCACTGCAGTTCTCTGCAGCTTATTTTCTTCATCATGGACAACTGTTTCATGAGGATTCATAACTTGTAAAGCATCTAATGGAGACTAGGACCCTTGTAGGCTCTCAGTATACTGATTTCTGTTGCCACTGATTCCAGTCTTTTCACTTTAAAGTGTTATGATGTATGTTTTTTTCTTATTTAATTTGATCTTTACAGTATTTGTTAAATGGCACAGGTCTTTCTCATTTTATAAAAAAGATCAGTATAAACATGGAATATTAGCGGGTTTTATGTTTCTTTTATGTTGTGGTATTTTGCTAATCTAGATGGCAGCAAATGAAATAGTATGCCTGGTATTTATCATAAATTGATGTTTTGAATTAGGTACAGTCCAGATGTGGTATTTCTACAGGAAGTCATTCCCCCATATTGTAGCTACCTAAAGAAGAGAGCATGTAGTTACGAGATTATTACAGGTAACGATTTTCCTGTTACTGTCTTTGTCTTTGGAGAACAGTCAAGGAAAGAGATAAACCAAGGTTAGCCTGTAGGAGAACACACAAGGAAAAAGAAAAATAAAAAAAGTTTGAGAAAAGCTAATCAGACACAGGATACTAGAAACACCGTAGGAAATATGTCAGATAGCTTAATATATGTGATGAGTGTTAGAAATGGATGGTGTTTCAGGAAAATATAAATTGCCAAAATTTGAGATCTGGAGTCGTTTTAATAAATTAACTTTATGAGAAAAAAAACTGACTCCACTTATCACACTTAAATTTTTTAATAAATTAACTTTACCAAAAAAAAATTTTAATGTGATAATTGCATCTTGACTATACTTTTTCAAAAAGTCGTCTTTATTCCTTTTAACTGATTTTGGGGTTTTTTTTCCTAGCTTTTTGCCTTCAACAGTAATTTGACTTTACATCTATTTTGTTTTTCCTGAGTGCATTTAATGTTCCACACACTGGCTACATTCCATAATAGTTGGTTAAATCCCATGTTCTCTTTGACTTTCACTTTTATGTAGTATGTGATTTTAATTTTGATCTATTATTAAATTCACAGTTGCTAAGGAGAGGGTTCTCAGTCTCTTTCTGTCTTTGTGACACAACTTTCCTGCATTCTCTTGGGGATTCTTTTTGACTCTCTTCTGTTTTAACTTTCTTGTTTTCTGAATCCCATGCTTTTCCTTCTTGATTTACTTCCTCCTTTCATTGGGAGTTTTGTATTCGTTTGGTTTGTTTTTGTTGTTGTTGTTTGTTTGTTTTTCATTTATTGTGCTGAACACCTGGTAGGAACTTTCAAACTGGAGGATTGTGACGTTCAGTTCTGGAAAACTTTCCATCTCTCCTTTCCTCCCCCTCTGTCCCCCTCCTACTCCCCCACCTTTGTGCACACTGCCAGTTTCCTAGCCTGCCAGCCAGCCTCCTTGGCCCTCCCTCCCTTTCCTTCCCTTGTTTCTCCCTTCTGCTCTGATAAACCACTTTCCACTTCTTCAGCTACTTTGTTCTCTGGAAAACAGTTGGAAACTTTTATTCACTGTCCATCTACTTCTGTTCTTTTTTCTCCTCCTTTTATACCTTTCTAAATTTTTTATTCATTTATTGTAATTTTTCTGTGTTTCTTGCACAATGAGAAGTAAATGCAGGTTAGTTTGGCTCAGTGTTATGTCTCATCTAATCTGTCAGAAATTTCTCAAATTTTCTTATTCAATACTGGCATCATTAACTGTTTTTGGCACTTATGTAAATTCTTTTTTATTTTTATATTCCTTTGATACATACAGCTACATTTAGGGAAGGGGCAGATAAATATAGGAACTCAGCCATCTTCACCTATTTTGAAATAATAGTTTACTTGGAAGATTCAGATCCGTCTAAGTATCTGTACCTGTTATAAAACCTTCAATAGGGGAACTTGTGATAAACGGCAAATACTCTTGACTTCTCAGCCTAAATTCTTTTCCAAAAACATTTGAAGGTCATGAAGAGGGATATTTCACAGCTATAATGTTGAAGAAATCGAGAGTGAAATTTAAAAGCCAAGAGATTATCCCTTTTCCAAATACAAAAATGATGAGAAACCTTTTGTGTGTGTATGTAAGTAATTTTTAAAATTTGACTTTTTTTTTTTTTTTTTTTAAGAATGAGTTGTTTCTTACAGTTTCATTGTGGTATCTTTTTTTTTAATTGCTGTTAGAGAAAATTTTGTCTCTTCTACATTTCTTTTAAATAGTCTTAAAGAACATTGTAAATTACGTTTTTTACACAAATTTCAAATACAAATTTGTAAACGTAAAATCCTGATTAGGTATTTCCCTAAGAATGTTTAAGAATTTACTAACAGTTAACATTTGCTTTCTAAAGTGTTTTTTTTCTTACCTAAATGCATTGTATATGGTAGGTACTGTGTTATACTCTGTGAGACTTATAAGAATGAATCAAAAGATCTTACTGTCATAGTTTATAGAGTAGCAAGGGAGAGATTGTAGTATAAAGTAACTAAAATAAAGGAAAGGCATAAATGCTACTGGAGGAAGTATAATGATGTGCAATGGAAGTTTAGAGATAACTTTTAGCTAGATTGGTTTTTGTTTTTTTTTAATTGAGGTATAATTGACACAATAGTATATACTTTTAGGAATACAGTGCAATGATTGGATGTTTGTATATGTTGCAAAATGATCACCACAGTAAGTCCAGTTAGCTATTGCCATACACAGTTACGCCTTTTCTTATTAGCTAGGTGTTCAGTGGAAGTTTCATGAGAGAATTTGTATTTGCATTAAGCACTGAAAAATACGTAAGATGTAAGCATTAAGAACAGTCCAGGTTAAAAAAAAAAAAAGAACAGTCCAGGTGGCAGAACCACCATAACAAACTTTTGCAGTATTGCAGGGTATGTGTGTGTGGTGTGTGTGTCTGTGTATGTATTTATGTGTGTATATATGTATATAAATGAGAAAGGATATATTTAAGTATAAAGGAGCATTCTGTTCATTTGGGTAGAGGGCATGAAAAAGGGTAAAAAGAAGTTGGTAAAGTAGGTTGGATCCAGATTATAGAAGGTCATGAATGCCCAGTGTGAAAGAATTTGTATTGATTCTGCAGGCAATTTGTTTAAATAATAAAAGATCCTGCATTGTTTGTATCTTAACTCCAAATGATAAATGATTCTCATTCATTCATTTAATTGACCTTTTTTGAGTACCTATGTGCCAGACCCTTGGTAATAACAGAAAATAAAAGAACCATCTCTGCTTTCAAATGACTCGTGACCTTGTAGGAGAGAAATAATTATGCCATAATTCAGTGTAGGGAACTTTAAAAATAGTCTTTCCAGTACGCTATAGGAATATAGAGGAGGGAGCCACTGATTGAGGATATTGGGGAAGGCCTTAGAGTGGAGGTGATGTTTGAGGTAGGTCTTGATGTATTAGTGGATGCTTGCTAAGTAGTTTTCTTTGGGAGCAGGATTAGCACATTACACATTGATCTAGAAATGTGAGCACAGTGCTGAGTAATGTAGTTTTGCTTTGTTAAATATATACCAATCAATTAAATAATTAGTTGATTCTGTTATCAATTGTCAACCTTAGTGGTCAGTGAATGTTAATAACTATAATTATCTGTCCTGTTGCAGGCAAGTATATCAGGAAATGAACTTTGCCTTATGACTTCTCATTTGGAGAGCACCAGAGGGCATGCCAAGGAACGAATGAATCAGTTAAAAGTGGTTCTAAAGAAAATGCAAGAGGCTCCAGAGTCAGCTACAGTTATATTTGCAGGAGATACAAATTTAAGGGATCACGAAGTGAGTGGCAAAGTCAGTTCTGTGCTTGTGGGCAGATTATTGCTGTGGAAACTAACTTTCTTTTGACCAAAGCTGTTATAATGTGTAAGCGACCTTAACGGTAAATACTGTCCTGTGGTCTATGCCTGGCACTGGGGAAGCGGAAGGAGGAGGAGGAAGACAGAAATATTGCACCTGACACAGACAACGCCAAACAATATTTGTTGATTAAGAAGAGGAGTACAGAGAAAACAAAGAGTTTAGAAAAAATTTAAATTTATTTGCAGTATCTTGAGTTGCAAGGTAAGAACAGATGAAAGATTTGGCCGTCACAGTTGTCCCTACATCTCTTCTAAGTTTTCTTTTTTCAACTTTTTTTTACCCCCTTTTCCTGGTACTACCATCTCCAGGACTGAAACAGTCTCTTTCCCCATAATTCATTTGAGAGATGTTGGGATTTTTCAGGACCTCTGTAGACTTAGGTCATATTAAGTGGAAGCTGGCCTTGCCTTTTCCCCCAATCTGGCTGAACTCATATCAGATTGGAAGTGAATCGAAATGTTTGTTTCACTGCTTTAAGCTGCAGGAGTAGAGGAAGAAATGAAATGAGAAACAAAAGCCTATCAGGACTTCTGAAGTGAAGGCAGTATCCTAAATAAAATAGAGCTCTGCTTCTCTTTGTGATTTGTGTCCTTGTACACAGATTACTTTTTTTAAAAAGTCAGACTATTTGTACTGTTTACAAATCAGTGACTTCATGGTAGTTGTTTTGTGGTACTTGGTTGCCTAACTGATCTGATCTGCTTACAAGAAAAATCCTGTTTGGCAACAAATGGCATTGGGAAAACTTGATATCCACATGCCAAAAAAACCAAAATTGTATCCTTACTTTATACCCTACACAAAAGTTTATTCAAAAGGAACCAATGACCTACAAGTAAGAGTTAAAACTATAAAACTCTTAGACGAAAACAAGGAGGAAAAGCTTCATGACGTTGGATCTGGCAATGATTTCTTGCCAAATTTCTTACATTAAAAGCACAGACAACAAAAGTAAAAAAGCTAAGATAAACTTTATCACAATGAAAAACTTTTGTGCATCAAGGGACATGATCACAGAATAAAAAGGTAGCCCATGGAATGAAAAAAATATTTGCAAATCCTATAGATGACAGGTGAATTATAATATAATTAATATAATATTGATGTTATATGAAGAATTTCTACAATAAGGAACCTGATTTTAAAAAGAGCAAAAGACTTAAATAGACATTTTTCCAAAGAAGATAAACAAATGGCCAATAAGTATGAGAGAAGATGCTTGGTGTCAATAGTCATTAGAGAAGTATAAATCAAAGCCATCATTAAGTATTACTTTACCTCTGTTATATCCATTAGCATGAGTATTATCAAAAAAACAGAAAATAAGTGTTGGTAAGGATTTGGATAAGAACCCTTATGCGCAACAAAAAAAAAAAAAAAAAAAAGAACCCTTATGCAGTGCTGATGGGAATATCAAATAGTATAGCTGCCATGGAAAATGGTGTAGTGATTCTCTAAAACTTAAAATAATTTCCATATGTTCCATACGGCCCAACAATTCCACTTCTGGGTGTATACCCCAAACAAAGAAAAACAGGGTATCTGTACATCTGTAGTTCATAGCATTATTCACAATAGCTAAAACATGGAAGCAACCAAAGTGACCGTTGACAGATGAATGGATAAACAAAATGTGTATACAAGTAACGGAATATTCAGCTTTAAAAAGGAAGGAAGTACAGTGTGATATAATATGGATGAACCCTGGACATTACACTAAGTGAAATAAGCCAGTTACAAAAGAACAAATATTTTACAAGTCCTCCTATGAGTTTCCTAAAGTAGTCAGATTCATACAGATAGAGAGTATTGTTACGGTTACCAGCGGCTGGGGGAGGATGGAATGGGTGGTTAGGATTTGTTTGGTACAGAATTTCAGTATGGGAAAATGAAAAGGTTCTACAGATGGGATGGTGGTAATGGTTGCACAGTTATGTGGATGTACTTAGTGTCATAAAACTGTACACATAAATGTGGTAAGTATGTATACAGGCATACAGAAGTATTGTGGGTTCAGTTCCAGTTCCACAATAGAGGGGATATCGTAATAAAGCAAGTCAAACAAATTTTTTAGTTTCCTGCTGGATATAAAATTATGTTTATACTGCTGGAGTCTATTAAGCATGCGCTGGCATTATATCCAAAAAAACAATGTATATGTCTTAATTAAAAAATACTTTAACATAAGGGCACCTGGGTGGCTCACTTGGCTAAGCATCTGCTTTCAGTTCAGGTCATAACCTGTAGGTCCTGGGATCTGAGCCCTCAGTCAGGCTCCCAGCTCAGCAAGGAGTCTGCTTCTCCCTCTGCCTCTCCCCTGCTTGTGCTCTGTCTTTGTCTCTCTCTCTCTCTCTCTCTCTCAAATGAATAAATTAAAAATCTTTAAAAAAAAAAACAGCTTTATTGCTAAAAATGCTAACCATCGTCTGAGTTTTCAGCCAGTCATAATCTTTTTTGCTAGTAGAGGGACCTTTTCCCATGAATCATGAATGTTCTGAATGGCATCTAGAATGTCAAATTCCTTCCAGAAGACTTTCAGTTGATTTTGCTTAGATCTATCAGAGAAATCACTATTGCAGCTCTAGTATTATGAAATGTACTTATTAAATCATAAGACTTGAATGTGGAAATGACTTCTTACTCCATGGGCTACAGAATGGATGCTATGTCAGCAGGCACGAAGACAACATTAATTTCATTCTCCACCTGCACCAGCTCTTGGGTGACCAGGTGCATTGTCAATGAGCCAGTAACATTTTGAAAGGAGTTTTGTTTGTTTCTTTTCTGAGTAGTAGGGGGTCTCAACAGTGGTCCTAAATGTTCAGTCAACCATGTTGTGAGCAGATGTGCCATCATCTGAGCTTTGATTTTCCATTTGTAGAACATAGAGTAGATTCATTGTAATTCTTTTTTTATTTTATTTTTTTAAGATTTTCTTTATTTATTTATGAGAGACACAGAAAGAGAGGCAGAGACACAGGCAGAGGGAGAAGCAGGCTCCATGCAAGGAGCCTGATGTGGGACTCGATCCTGGGACTCCAGGATCATGCCCTGGGCTGAGGCAGGTGGTCAACCGCTGAGCCACCCAGGCGTCTCTGTAATTCTTTTTTATTCTTAAGTTTTTTTTATTTTAATTCCAGTGTAGTGATGTACAGTGTTAAGTTTCAGTTGTATAATACAGTGATTCAACAATTCCATACGGATTTAGTATTATTCTTATGGGCCTTAGGATTTTTGGAATGCTGAATAAGCATTGGCTTCACAAGTTAACAGCTACATTAACCCCTAACAAGAGAGCTTTAGAGCTTTGAAGCTTTAAAGCCAGGCACTGACATCTCTAGCTATAGAAATCTTAGATGGCATCTTCCAGTAGAAGGCTGTTTCATTCACATTGAAAATCTGTTTTTTAGTGCAGCCACCTTTGTGAACTATCTCAGCTAGATCTTCCAGATAACATGCTGCAGCTTCTACATCAGCACCTGCTGCTTCACCTTGCGCTTTTACCTTATGGAGATGGCTTCTTTCCTTCAGTCTCTGCCGGTTTTAAGCTTTTTCTTTTGCAGCTTCCTCACTCCTCTCAGCCTTCTTAGAATTGAGTTAGGGCCTTGTTCTGGATGAGGCTTTGGCCTAAGGGAATGTTGTGGCTGGTGTGATCTATCTAGGCCACTCAAACTGGCACTTTTCACTTCCTTCAAGAACTTTTCTTTGCATTCACAGTTTGGCTAACTTGCTTAGGGCAAGAAGCCTACCATTTGGCCTACCTTGGCTTGAGATACACATCCTTCTCTAAGCTTAGTCATTTCTAGCTTTTGATTTAAAGTGGGAGACAAGTGATTCTTCCTTTCACTTGAATACTTAGAGCCCATTGTAGCGTGATTAATTAGCCTAATTTCAATATTGTGTCTCAGGGAATGGGGAGACCTAAGTAGAAGGAAGAGGGAAAGGCCGGTCCAAGGAGTAGTCAGAACACACGTTTAATAAGTTCACTCTCTTAAATGGGCAGAGTTCATGGTGCCCTAAAACAATTACAGTAATAACATCAAAGATCCTGATCACAGATCACTGCAACCAAATAATAAGAAAGTTTGAAATGTAAGGATTACCAAAATGTGACACGAGGTGAGCAAATGCTGTTGGAAGAACTGTACTAACATAACAGACTTGTTCAATGCAGCATTGCCATAAACCAACTTGTAAAAAACACAATGTCTGAAGTGCAATAAAAGGTATGCCTGTATTTAGCACAATAAAATGTTTTTTATGGAGTGTGAAGAGGGAGAAGAAAGATTTGATAGTAAATTTCAAATGAAACTGTGAAGGCAGTTGACCTTATTGGGGGGATCATAATAAATGGTATATGTCTACATTTATAGACCAAGAGTTTTGCCTGCTTTTCACTTGTGTACGTTTTTCAAAAACTAATAGCAATAACAGAGGCTGTGGGTTTTCAGCCTTCTAAGTTTTATCTGCTACCCAGAGTAAGGAATCTATGACAGAATAGAAAGGGCAAATTCCAGACCTCTCTGGCTATCTAGATATTTTCATATTACCTACTTAGTACTATACAGCAAGGTGCTATGTATAATATATTCAATATTAATATATCATCTTGCATTGGTGCATTAATTTGTGACATTCTGATTTGAGATGTTGCACTTAGATGTAATAGTGAAACCTTTTTAGTTCAGGAGCAAAAGGGCTGAATCTTAAAGAGTTTTCTTTTTCTTTTCAGGTCACCAAATGTGGTGGTTTACCCAGCAACATTTTGGATGTCTGGGAGTTCTTAGGCAAACCTGAGCATTGCCAGTATACATGGGATACACAAATGAACTCTAATCTTGGAATATCTGCTACTTGTAAACTTCGTTTTGATCGAATATTTTTCAGGACAGCAGCAGAAAGTGGCCATATTGTTCCCCAAAGTTTGGACCTCCTTGGGTTGGAAAAACTGGACTGCGGTAGATTTCCTAGTGATCACTGGGGGCTTCTGTGCAACTTAGATGTAATCTTGTGAAATGCTTTTCAGATAAGAGTTGTATGTCTTCCGAGTAAATTTTATTCTGGATTTTTGCAAATATAATTTCTACCTGTCTGGAAAGGTAGGTTTATTATGGAGGAATGAATATACTACATCATTGTAAAAAAAAAGAAAACAGTACTGTGATTTTATTTTGTGGATTGTGACCTCAAATTTCAGAACTAAATATTGATGTTCATTGAAACGAAAGGATAATTGCTGTTCAGAATATGAGACTTCTTCATAAAAGGCCACCAAGATCATCAGAACCACCAGCTGGTTCTCGAGCAGGGCCACAGAAATGCTAGCCTTTATGTTTTATTTTTAAAATCAGGTACCAAATAGTTTCTATTTTAAGTAAATCTTTAAAAATAAAAATAAGAGGGGATCCCTGGGTGGCGCAGCGGTTTGGCGCCTGCCTTTGGCCCGGGGCGCGATCCTGGAGACCCGGGATCGAATCCCACGTCGGGCTCCCGGTGCATGGAGCCTGCTTCTCCCTCTGCCTGTGTCTCTGCCTCTCTCTCTCTGTGTGACTATCCTAAGTAAATAAAAATGAAAAAGAATAATAAAATAAAATAAAAATAAGAGGTTATTGTTTGTGGGGGATTAGATCTTCTAGTTATATTTTACAAATATGGATAATCTTAAATGAAAAAGCCATGATTATATGCATTTAAGTAGATGACAACTGTCCTATTCAGACTTTATTTTTGTCAGCTAACGGTGCATAATTGGTAAGCTATAAATGAAATCTTATGATTTGAAATTCCTTATTTTTTTAAAATTCATGTTTGTCAACATGTCACTGTTCATGTTGCCAACAGAGGCAAATTGGGCTTGATATAAAGTTGGTGATACAGCTGCATTGGGCTTCTTTCCTAAGGGAGAAATAAATGTTTAGAGAGGAATAGCTTTTTAATTTTACTTCTTATAAAATTGAATTATTTTCACAGGAGAGGGATAAGGAGCACTTTTAAATGTGCTTTAAAGAAACTTTTTCCCCCTTAAAAGAAATGTACTTTAAATAAATAATTTTACTTGTTTATGGTTTGTTTAGTATGCTTTTGTGCCCATGATGGGATTGGAGTTTTTTTTTTTTTACCTGCTTTCTGTTTCTGGTTCCACTGCTGCTACTCACCTTTGTGTGGAAAAAAACAGCTTCTCTGAAGCTTCTCATCCCACAGAACTACCAAGCACACATTAATGTCCTCAGTATAAAAAAAGGAAAGCCAGTGGCAATAATAAGAATGAGAAGTCACAGAGCCTCATTTTCATCAGAGGTGTCAAAATTAACAACTAAACACCTAAAAAAAGACAAGCCAAACTTATATATATTTCCTTTGTAGTGACAATGGAAAGGAGATTTATATGTTACTTATTTAATCATTTCAAATGAGAATGCTAATATTTAGCCTACATTATGGAGGCAATAGCTCATTTACATAGGAAAAAGTATATTTTTGGCATAAATTGCTTATTCATGTGGAAGAACAATTGTTGCAAGAACCATACCTTAAAAAAAAATTTAAAAAAAATATAAAAAGAAGAACCATACCTTATGTCACACAACAAAAAAATTTAGATGAGTGAAAGGCTAATTATAAAAATAAAATCTATAGTAATGCGTATTAGATTAAATAAAGAATTAAATTGTTTGAAAACCTTGAAAGGAACGTCATTTATATGACTGCATTCAGGTGAAGTGTTTTCCATTTACTGTTTATAGTGACAAAATCTAAGAAATCAGTTTTAACTGATGTGAACAGGAACAATTAGTCACGTTTTAAAAAAAACTATTTTTAAATAATCTCTACACACAATATGGGGCTTGATCTCACAATCCTGAGACTGACTGATCCAGCCAGGCACCCCACAAAGTTAATTATATTTTTTTTAAGTTGGCTCCACGCTGGGTGTGGAGCCCCATGAGTAGCTTGAACTCCCAACCCTGAGATTGAGACCTGAGCTGAGATCAACAAGAGTGGGACTACCCAGGTGCCCCTAAACCATTCCCAACCAATGCAAGAATTAGGAACCTAATAATTTGTGATATCTTGAATTTTTTTACTTTGGATCTCAAATTTTTCCAGCATAGTAGCTCTGAGTACCTTACTTCCCTTAAGGAAATGCCAACTCAGAATCTCGTATTTATTTCAGTAGGCTAAACACCATCTTTGCCACTGATATGGAATATACTTGAAGCTTGCTAGACCTGTTTCTCCCATCTTCAAAATAGGGTAATTCTGGTCTTTCTTGTACACTGGTAAAACAAATGTCCCAAACAACAGCATATAAACAAGAGCAGATGAAGTCAGAAGAGCTATACTAAGAATACATAATTTTACCTTTAATACTTATTATAGTTTCTGGCATATAGCAAGAGCTCAATAAATGCCCATTAAATGGTGAGGAAAAGTGAAGGATAATGTCCTAACTAGCGTCCTAGAGAGGCAGACTAACATTTTCATGAAGTACCAAAATATATTCTAAATTCATTATGTATGTTTCAAAATAGGTGTTCATTGTAATTGCACTGAGTTAAAAAGGTGTTAAAGTTTAACATTCTGGGCTAAGCCTGTGTATGTCAAAGACCTTTGGGAACAAGCCTGTTTGCATCAGATTTGTTAGTACAGTGAGAGGGCACTCTGAACGTATTATAGAATGCCAGGTAAGAGGAGAAAGAGAAGTGCCTTTTGTAAGTTTTTTGAAGGATTCTGTGGGGTTCTTGGGATCAGAAATTGGTCCATATTGGTTACTGTTTCCGAGGCAGACTGGAAAAGAAAGGGGTTAATTAGGGATTGGGTTTTGTCATGAGCAGAAGAGAGTAGCATCTGGGCATCACCAAACTGGGTGGGAATCACAAAGCAAAGGGGGCCTCTACAGCAAAAAACTAATAGTCATTTACAGAGAGGGTTCTTGCATCATTTTATGGCCTGAGTTTAGGAGGTGGGTTTCTTTTTTTTTTTTTTTAATTTATTTATTTATTTATGATAGTCACAGAGAGAGAGGAGAGAGGCAGAGACACAGGCAGAGGGAGGAGCAGGCTCCATGCACCGGGAGCCCGACGTGGGATTCGATCCCGGGTCTCCAGGATCGCGCCCCGGGCCAAAGGCAGGCGCCAAACCACTGCGCCACCCAGGGATCCCTGGAGGTGGTTTCTTAAGGTTCTTCCAATATCTGGAGAAGTTTCTCCTAAAGCATGACTTTGGGAGAAACAGTATTTCCTATTAACTTCTGATTTTCTCTGTGTCTTCTCAGCCTCATCAAATGGCAGGGTTGCGTTTCTCTTTTTAAGTCCAACTTGATTTCCATTCTTTCAGCCCTGGACAGGTTTTTCTTTCAGTGTTATTTAGTTCCCACAGTCATCCTGTATGAGTGCAATTATCTCCATCTTATAATTAAGGAAACTGTTTAGCAGGTGATGTAACTCCTCCAAGGCCTATCCCCTGCCGTGGAGAAGCCTAATAGGGGCCTGCTCATGGGGTTTCTGTGACCCAATGCTGTGTATTTCCTAGGCACGGGAAAGTGCTAAGAATGCTCGAGGAATGCCCTGGCTTCCTTTTCTGCCCTGTGTTACCATACCTAGATGCTTGAGTATTTTTATAGTAAGAAAACAATAAACGGGGATGCCTGGGTGGCTCAGTGGTTGAGCGTTTGTCTTTGGCTCAGGTCCTGATCCTGGGGTCCTGGGATGGAGTCCTGCATTGGGGCTCCCCATAGGGAGCCTGCTTCTCCCTCTGCCTGTCTCTGCCTCTGTGTCTCAAATATAAATAAATAAATAAATAAATAAATAAATAAATAAATAAATAAATAAATAAATATCTTTTTAAAAACCCCAATAAATGCAAGAAAGCCTTTGAGTTTTCTGTGGTTCAGACCATCATCTTCCCATAGATGGAAACGTAGACTAAATACGCTGGAGGCACCTAGTTACTGCAGAACGCATGGAGTTGACGGGGCCCACCCCAGCTCCAGCAAACCTAAGTCAGAAAGTAGCACGTGCTCATGACGTAGCAGGGCCCAGAGAGCTCCCGGGGGGAGTGGACCTGTGCGTGGGGGTGTCTTCGTTCCGCAGACACATTCGCAAAGGATCTTCTTTAACTTAGGTGGTGCGCTCATAGCTTCCTTGAACCACCCTCTTCTGGGCATTAGAAAGAGGCTCATGTCGCAGGCCGTCTGGGATCATGGAGACAGGAAAGGACCTGGAGAGGGAAATGGGGTGAGCATCCAGGACGCCTGCCCTCCCGAACGCCTTCTGCCAGGTCCCCCGCGGCTGGGAGCCGGCCGGCCGCCCGGGGACCCACCTCTTCCACCGCGCGGGGAGCCTTGAGCTGGGCAGGGAGCGGCGCGGGGGGCGGTGCAGGGAGAGGGGCAGGGAGCGCGGCCCGCCCCTCGCTGGGGGCGCGTGCGCGCTCGTCGCCATGGTAACGCGACCGGAAGGCGCTGCATCTCGGGCGCGCGCTCCCCCGCTGCCGCGGACGCTGCCGCGGACGCTGCTGCGGGGCCCGCCGGGGGTCCCCCGGGCTGTGCGGTTCTCTTAAGATCCCCGCGGGGCCCCGCTGTGCTCGGCGCAGGCGGGCGGCGGCGGGGCTCGGGCTCGGGCTCGGGGCCGGAGGTAAGCGCGCCGCAGTTGTCTACGCGGGCCGGGGCTCGGAGCCGAGTGGCTTCTCCGGGCTCTGGGGTGCGGAGAGGAGGCGAGGGCTTCCTGGGCGGGGCGGCCCCCTGCGAGCGCGCGTGAGCGCCTGCGAGTGTGGCCGCGCGCCGCCGGCCGCTGGAGACGCCCGGGGGCAGGTGGCGGGAAGGTGCGGCTCGGGTGCTGCGGGGTGGGGCGGGGCGCGGGGCAGGTGCGGCTCGGGTGCTGCGGGGTGGGGCGGGGCGCGGGGCAGGGCGCGGGGCAGGTGCGGGGCGGGGCGCGGGGCAGGTGTGGGGCAGGTGCGGGGCAGGTGTGGGGCAGGGTGCGGCTCGGGTGCTGCGGGGCGGGGCGCGGGGCAGGTGCGGAGCAGGGTGCGGCTCGGGTGCTGCGGGGCGGGGCGCGGAGCAGGGCGCGGGGCAGGTGCGGCTCGGGTGCTGCGGGGCGGGGCAGGGCGCGGGGCAGGTGCGGCTCGGGTGCTGCGGGGCGGGGCGCGGGGCAGGTGCGGCTCGGGTGCTGCCGGGCGGGGCGCGGGGCGGGGCGCGGGGCAGGTGCGGCTCGGGTGCTGCGGGGCGGGGCAGGGCGCGGGGCAGGTGCGGCTCGGGTGCTGCGGGGCGGGGCGGGGCGGGGCGCGGGGCAGCCGGCTGACGCGGGAGCGGACGAGGCCGGCGCGGAGCTCGGGAGGCGCGCTTCTGCGGCCCGGGGGCACCGCTCCGGGGGGGGGGCATCCTCGGCGGCGGCCGTTGGGCTGTCCCTGAGCAGGTGGAGTCGGGAAGACTTGCATCTGTTCCCAGGCTGCCGGATGGCATCGCTGGGACCTGTGGAGTCGCTTTCTGTGAACTTGGTTTGGTGATATTTATGTGGTTTGTGCTGTCGCCTGCTACGTGCGTTCCGCTTCGGCACCTTATGGTTAATCGGAAGCTCAAAACCTCTTCATGGCTTTTCTCTCTTTCCCTTTGAACTTGCTCCACGGAATGCGTATTAATCAAGATAGCAATCACCGAGAGCATCAGCCTGACCTTGGGAGAGCCATCCTTCTCTCCGTCATTCTTCCTCTTAATTATTTGTAGAGAGAAAAGAATATGATGTTCATACCCATGTCCATTTTTATGCTGCTTTCTTCACCTCCGCATTTTGGTTTGTGGGTTAAATGTTACTGGCTTAAACGGGGCTTAAATGGAAAAGTTGAATGATGCTTTGGATAACAGAAAAAGCAAATTGTAGACAACCTTCCTCAAAAAAACAAGAATTTCTGAGGTGAACGTTAATATTTATTCCTTTATTCCTGAAATGCATGTTCACTGTCTGAACACCCCAGACTGTTTATAACAAGAAGACTGCAATCCTGGAAACCACTGAAGTTATGGCAAATAGAATTTTTTATTTTTCGTTTATTATTTTACATCATCTTTCATATAAATGAGGAAACGTGCACATAACGATTCTGTCACAGACTTCAGAGTCATAGAGAAAGCTGAATTCCTCTGAACTTTGAAAAAGAGAAATGTGAACATATATGAAGACTTTTTAGAACCATAGTAGGCTTGCCGTGTATAATGCCAATGCGGGGACTTAATGATCTTTCAGAAAAACAAAAATAAGTCAAAATCTTTACATATTAAAAATAGTCAAAAGAGGGCTTCAGTAACTTCTTAATGCAAAAGAATGGATTTGCTATTAAGTTTTCTTGACTTAATTTTTTTTTCTGGCCAAGCAGAAAAGATGTATTCTCTTTTTTTAAAAAAAAAATATTTTATTTATTTATTCATGAGAGACACACAGAAAGAGAGGCAGAGACACAGGCAGAAGGAGAAGCAGGCTCCATGCAAGGAACCTGATGTGGGACTTGATCCCGGGTCTCCAGGATCATGCCCAGCCAAAGGCAGTGCTAAACCACTAAGCCACCAGGGCTGCCCCAAGATGTATTCTCTTTAAATAAATATGTAGAACCAGACATGACTCTTTCATGTTGGGGGCAGTTGATATAGATTGCCAGGTCACGTGGCTTGGGTTTGGTCATGGTTTTGCTACTTTGTGGTTGTGTCACACACTTAATCCCTCTAAGCCTCAGTTTCTTTATCTGTAAAGTAAGAGTAGGACTTAAATAAAGTAGGACTTAAAGTCATACATATAGAAGTACTTTGCTCAGTGCCTGGTATACAGTAACACTTCAATAAAAGTTAGGTATTATTACTCTTTTTTTTTTTAAGATTTTATTCATTTATTTGTGAGAGAGACACAGAGGCAGAGACAGTGGCAGAGGGAGGAGCAGGTTCTCTGCAGGGAGCCTGATGTGGGACTTGATCCCAGGACTCAGATCATGACCTGAGCCAAAGGCAGATGCTCAACCTCTGAGCCCCCCAAGTGCCCCAGGTATTATTACTCTTGAAATAAGTTTTCTTTTCAGGAAATATTTTCTGTCTTCAGAATAACTTGGCACTGAAAATAGAATTATTTTGATGTGACAAAAGCTAGTTCTGATTTATACTGTCAAACCATAATACAATGCATATTTTTTTGCAGTATTGTTATAACAACAAAACAACAATGGTGAATATAATCACAATCCTAAAGGCATATAATTCCAGAAAATTATATTTAATACCACAAGTGAGGAGTTTTGCTTTAGTAGGCCTGGAGTAATTAGTAGGTTCTTGCTCTATTTGTTTTTTTAAATCTGTATTTTTAGAGACTATCCAGTAAATTCAATAGCAATAGATTATTTTCTTTCCTTTTTTTAAAATTTTTTTTCCTTTTTTTAAAAATTTTTATTTATTTATTCATGAGACACACACACACACACACACACACCCAGAGGCAGAGACTCAGGCAGAGGGAGAAGCAGGCTCCATGCAGGGAGCCCAATGCAGGACTCGATTCTGGGACTCCGGGATCACGCCCTGGGTCAAAGGCAGACATTCAACCACTGAGCCACCCAGGCATCCCTATTTTATTTACTTCTATTAAGCAGTAAAAAGGGTTGGACCAAAATAACATCTATTTTTGCATCATTTTTCAGTCTTTTAACAATAGGTGTTTGAGTTTCAGAGCAAAGCTTCTTAAAGAGGGGATCCCTGGGTGGCGCAGCGGTTTAGCACCTGCCTTTGGCCCAGGGCGCGATCCTGGAGACCCGGGATCGAATCCCACGTCGGGCTCCCGGTGCATGGAGCCTGCTTCTCCCTCTGCCTATGTCTCTGCCTCTCTCTCTCTCTCTCTCTCTCTCTCTCTCTCTATCATAAATAAATAAAAAAAAATTTTAAAAAAAAGCTTCTTAAAGAAATAATATACAGGTAGATAAAGATACAGTGTTGGATTTTTAGCTCTGTTCCCTTCCAAATAACCTTGGTAGAATTACATTATCTTGCTGCATATTCTTTTCCTGAATTTCAAAACAAGCAAGGAATCCTAGTAAACATCTATTCAATTTAAGCAGTGTAGCTAGAATAAGGGCCTCAAAATGAATTTATCTTTTTAAATTCTTTAAAAAAGATTTTACCTGTTTTTTTTTTCAAAGATTTTATCTATTTATTCATGAGAGAGAGAGAGAGGCAGAGACACAGACAGAGGGAGAAGCAGGCTCCCTGCAGGAGCCTGATGCAGGACTCCATCCCACTGAGCCACCCAGGTGTCCCGTATCTTTATTTGACAGAAAGAGGAGAGCTAGAGAGGGAGAGAACATCAACAGGGGAGGGGCAGAGGAAGAAGCAGGCTCCCTGCTGAGCAGAGCACCTGACTGGGGCTCCATCCCAGGACCCTGAGATCTTGACCTGAGCCAAAGGCAGATGCTTAACCACCTGAGCCACCCATACGCTCTTCAAAATGAATTTTTAAAGGTGGAATCATTCCATGCCATAATTTAAAGCATAATAATTATGAGAATCAAGGGGAAATTAACTCATGTTGCTACCCACAATTTTATGTATTATATTTTGCAGTATGTTTTTCATGTGGTAAGGAGGTACAGATTGCATCCCTGCTGCTTAACTAGTCTTTACCTTCTTATGCTGGGCTTTTTTTTTTTTTTAAGATCTTATTTATTTATTCATGAGAGACACAGAGAGAGGCACAGACACAGGCAGAGGGAGAAGCAGGCCCCATGCAGGGAGCCTGACATGGGACTTGATCCCGGGTCTCCAGGATCATGCCCTGGGCTGAAGGTGGCTCTAAACCCAGGCTGCCCCACGAGGGCTTTTGTATCTACTGCCATGCTACGCCAGCTCTTCCCAAATCTGGAGAAACCTTTTTTGACCTTATTATACTAGTCTTCTTCCACTCAGTTGGCCATTCTCACTTTTTTTTTTTTTTAAAGATTGATATATTTATTTTAGGGGTAAGGGGCAGAAAGACGGAGAGGGAGCACCGTAAGTAGGCTCCACGAGGAGCATGGAGCAGTTTGGTGCTGTATCTCACAACCCTTAGATTATGACCTGAGCAGAATCAGTCAGATGCTTGACCATTACAGCAGCCCAGGTGCCCCTCTGTGGTTTTATTTCTAATAGCACAAGTCATGATTTGGATCTCTTAAACTATGCCCTTAAAAGAAATCCTCCTGGGGCACCTGGGTGGCTTACTCAGTTGAGCATCTGCCTTGGGCTGAGGTCATGATCCTGGGGTCCTGGAATTGAGTTCCGGGTCAGGCTCCCTGCTCAGCAGGAAGTCTACTACTCTCTCTCCCTCTTTCTCTCTCCTCTCAAATAAATAAATAAAATCTTAAAAACTTTTAAAAAGGGCAGCCCCAATGGCCCAGAGGTTTGGTGCCACCTTCAGCCCGGGGTATGATCCTGGAGACCCGGGATCGAGTCCCATGTCGGGCTCCCTGCATGGAGCCTGCTTCTCCCTCTGCCTGTGTCTCTGTCTCTGTCCTCCCTCTCTCTCTCTCTCTCTCTCTCTCTCTCTCTCTGTCTCTCTGTCATGAATAAATAAATAAAATCTTAAAAAAAAAAGTTAAAAAAATCCTCCTGTACTGTTGCTTTATTGTGTTTATC